CTCTCTCATCTGCTCTTTGCAGATGACTCACTGTTATTCTGCAAGGCTGGGGTGGATCAAGCTGGAATTATTATGAGCATTCTTGAGCAGTACAGGTTGTTTACTGGTCAGACAGTAAACCTCAATAAATCTGCTATTTTCTTCAGCAAGAATACACCACAGCATCTCCAAAACTCTATATGCAGGTCCCTGAATGGAATCACTTCTCATAAATCAACCAGATACCTCGGCCTACCCTTGGGTATTGGCAAATCGAAGAAAGAGGTTTTTAATACCTCCTTGCTGCTGTGAGAAATAAACCAACCTCTTGGAATTCTAAATTACTGAGCTCTGCAGGAAAAGAGGTGCTCTTAAAAGCTGTAATTCAAGCTCTTCCTGTTTTTACCATGAGCTGTTTCATCATGCCTGTCTCCATATGCTCTGAAATTGCCAGATTAAGTGCCAAATTCTGGTGGAAGTCAGGAACCAACCAATCTACACTCTACAGGTGTCCATTGGAAGAAATGGAACTCTATCACTGTGCCTAAAGATTGTGGGGGGATAGCATTCCATGATCTTCAGCTTTTCAACAAAGCACATATATGTAAACAACTATGGAGAATTGCCTCTAATCCAGATCTTTTGGTTAGTAAACTGCTCAAAGACAGGTATTTCCCTAACTCCTCTCTTATCCATGCTTCTAAAACTCCCTCTGGCTCATGGATGTGGAATTGCTGGATGGGAGTCATGCCCTTATTTGCAAAATGTCTGAGAATTGAAGTTAGGAATGGTTTGAGCACTAAAATTTCAGACTTCAACTGGGTTCCTGGGCTGAATAAACCTACTCCATCTCTTATCCCAATTGCCAGAGATCATTTGATTTGGGTTAAAGATATTCTTCACAGCAATGGTTCTCAATGGAATGAATGGCTTATTAAGCAAGTCTTTGATGAATCTGACAGCTCTGCCATTTTGAAAATCTCAACTGTGAATCCTCTTAGACAAGACAGGCTCTACTGGGGAGTTGATAAGAGAGGTACTTTTTCTGTGTCCAGTACCTATGCTCATCTTTGTTCTCTCAAGATTAGGCAATCTGATGTTCCTGAAAGCAGCTCTTCAATGACCACAAAAAAATCCATCAAATTTAGGCATTGGAAATTAAAAGTTGCTGGAAAAATCAAGATCTTTGTCTGGAAATGTCTATCTGGTATCCTCCCTGTTGCTGTCAACCTTATGAAAAGAGGCTTTGAATTGGATTCAACATTTTCTTCTTGTGGAGCTGCAGTTGAAACTTTGGAACATATCCTGTTCTTATGTCCCAGAGCTATTAAGGTGTGGAAATTAAGCACTGTCCAATGGGATGGAATTTCAAACTTCACTGACTCTTTCAAGCACTGGTGGTATCAAGTTTGTTCCTTAGATCACTCTGAAGTTGCCGAAGCAAGAATCCAGCTCACCACTTACATTCTTTGGTGGCTTTGGAAATCGAGGAACTTATGGATCTTCCAACACTCTCTCATCCCGGAGCACTCTATACTCAGGCTTGCGCATTCTGACTGGTTGGACTTCTCCAATGCTTCTTCTGGCTAGCCTTTGTTGGTTTTTTTTCTGTTCTTTTTTTTCTTTCTTTCGGGGGAAGTCCTCTTTGCTAGGCTTTATAGCAGTGGCGAGAGTCTTTGCCTGGTTTGTTTTCTCCTGTTTCGGTTGTTGTTTGTTTTTCTGTTTGTTGAGGCTTTAGACCGCGTGTTGCGTGTCTCTCAGTTTTTATTTTCGATTTGGATTAGTCCTTTGTATTCGAACTCGGTTCGCTTGAGATTTATATAGTTATTTCTGTCGTTTTGGAAAAAAAAAAACTCTATACTAAAAAAATCTCATTTAGAACCAACTAATTAATAAACAAGCGCATCGTGAGACGAGCAACAACAAATTGTGCATAGACGTGGCAATTGGCCGGGTCGCGCCCGGCCCGGTCCGCCGGGTCGGCGGGCCTCAATCTCATGGCCTGTGACCGGCCCGCCCATTTATATACGGCCGGTTCACCGACCCGGCGAGTTTCGGCAGTTCCGGGCTGGTACAACCCTTGAAAAAACAGTGTAGCCTGTCATCCAACCCGCGGCTCGACCTGCCCAGGTCCGCACCGGACCAACGGGACTCTAAAAAAAATTATGAACCGGGACCGAAACGCGACCCTAAGGTCTAGTTCAACGAACCGGCCTTAGGAGGCATATTCGGGCCGAGCCTGGACCGGTTCACGGGCCGGTTCGACTAGTGAACATGTCTAAATTTGTGCACCACGAGTTTGTGATTTGAACATGTAAGAAAAAGAAGCAAAGCGTGAAGAGGGGAGAAACAGATAAAAGATTCTGATGGGCCAGGTGGCATCCCAGGCAGCCAATCACATAACCACACTCGTATCTTCTCAAGATAAGAAGCATAAGCCCCTTTCTTTGTGAGTACATTAATTAAACACGATGAATTCATATCAGACTCTAGTCTACTTCAATTTCCATTGGACGCGCACAAAAGCACTAAACAATCTTTGAGAGTGGGATGGCCTCTGCCTGTGCTTCGTCAGCCATTGCTGCTGCTGCTGTTTCCATCTCTTCCTCAAGGCAAGTTTTGTGTCATCACATAAACATATATCTGAAAATGGTAATCTAATTTATAGTAATTAATAGCCATGTGCTTGAATTGAAAGGAAAACAGGCTGATTGTGGGGGAAACTAAGGCTTGTTTGTTTGGAGGAAGAAAATTGGGAGTGAGCAGTTTGACAGCAACAAAGAGCAGAAGATCAGTGTGTGCTGCTGCTGTTGCTGATCCCGATAGACCACTGTGGTTCCCCGGAAGCACACCTCCCCCGTGGCTCGATGGCAGGTGTGTGGGTCAGCTCATTATTATTATTATTATTATTATTATTATTATTATTATTATTATTATTATTATTATTATTATTATTATTATTATTATTATTATTATTATATTGTTATTAAACAATATATTATTGTTAAACCCTGTTATATGTGTTGTTGCAGCCTTCCAGGAGACTTTGGGTTTGATCCTCTGGGCTTAGGTATGGTCTCTAACTAACTAACTAACTTACTAACTAACTAACTTAAAAGAAAGTAGTAGATCATGAATCAAAAACATGATAGTAATAGTAACTGTATTACATATACAGCATCAGACCCGGAGAGCTTGAAATGGAACCAGCAAGCAGAGCTTGTCCACTGCAGGTGGGCTATGCTTGGTGCGGCCGGCATCTTCATTCCGGAGTTTCTAACGAAAATAGGGATCCTCAACACCCCATCATGGTACACTGCAGGGGAGCAGGAGTACTTCACCGACACAACCACCCTCTTCATAGTTGAGCTAATCCTGATTGGTTGGGCAGAGGGCCGGCGCTGGGCCGACATCATTAAGCCCGGGAGCGTCAACACGGACCCCATCTTCCCCAACAACAAGCTCACCGGGACGGATGTGGGCTACCCTGGAGGTCTCTGGTTCGACCCCCTCGGCTGGGGCTCCGGCTCCCCACAAAAGATAAAGGAGCTCAGGACAAAGGAAATCAAGAATGGGCGCCTCGCCATGCTGGCAGTCATGGGCGCCTGGTTCCAGCACATCTACACAGGGACAGGCCCCATAGACAACCTCTTTGCTCACCTAGCCGACCCAGGCCATGCCACCATTTTCGCTGTAAGCCACAACATCATCCATATCCCTATCACTATCTCTATCTATATGTACATATAATTCCTTTTCATCATTTCTTTTTGCAGGCTTTCACCCCAAAATGACAAGGACCAATACATTTCTCACCTCTCTACTCTCTTTTCTTACAATTCATCTCAATTATTAATGTACTGCTACTACCTACTACATATATAATGTTTTTGTAAGTTGTAGATGACAAACATATGGCACTCTACAAATATTTTACCTTCACCACAACTCCACAATCTCCATTCTACCTTTATATGTCATCTCATGTCATGACCACAACATTAATTTACATCTTAATTTGCATCACACACACACACAAATTCCTTACCATCTTATGTGTTATAGCTATAAAGATCATCAGAGCCGGTCCTGAATATTATTGGGCCCTGGGCCAAATGTAAAAATAATGTCAAGTATTTTTATATGTATAAAAAAACTAGAGTATTTGTATAACATTAACAAAGCCCCAAAAATTATTATGCTAAACAATCTCTTATGTAAAACACAACTTCATCAAAATAACTAACAATTCATCACGTATATGAAGGTTAATGACACACTTTCATCTTTCAAATTTACAATAGATAATATCTTGAGTGCTTTTACAAAATATAATGTCTCAGTGTAAATATCAGGCAAATTAAATAACTAATTGACCAACAAAACACTTTTTAGCGGCAAAAATATAGTAGTAGTAAAATTACTTACAAAGTTTTGTTAGAATTTTTAGCAGAAAAATATCCATTGTATAACCATAATCAAATATCATGTAATATTCTTCTATTGCATAGATTAATTAGTTGTTAAATTTGATATGGTTCACATTTTGTAGTAGTTTTTATATGTAATAAGAATTGTTTGTTTACTAGTTCAAACATGATGATGTTTTAACTAAAGATTATTAATAAATAAAATTATAATTAAATTTTTATCAGAATTATTTTATACAATAAAAATATAAAATTATTATAGTATTAATTATTAATGACATTTAGTTAATTATGTTTGAGCTATAAAACAAATAACTCCAACACATAACTTAAAAAGGGTAAAACATATTACAAATCAACCATAAGTGTTACAAAATAAAAATTAAATATATTTAAATTTTTTGTCAAGCAACCTTAAACCACACTAAACCTAATTTAGGAAGTTAATTAAATATAATCTATAAATTAACTAAATGGCCAAACAACAAATAATATAATTTTTTAAGTAAGCCAAATATGTATAATAGGATAATGTAACAGATGTAATAATAATTAAGTTGAGAGAGAAATAAATAAATGGTAGTATATAAGACGGTTAGGTGGTTTTGGTTTGTGAAAAAGAAATATGTTTATAGAAAATATAAAAAGTGAATGTGTGGGGAAGTGTGTTAAAAGTTGAAGAGAACATGGACAATAAATACCTATTTGGGAAGGCTCACCTTATTTAATTCATGGAATTAAACTAATAGTGGTATACATATAGGCAGAGTATAGTATATGGGCCGGTGCCCCTTCCACGAATTGGGCCCTGGGCTGTTGCCCAGGTCGCCCTCCCTCAGGGCCGGCCCTGAATACACGTAGTTAAAAGTTTTGCTCCCCATTAATTTTTAAGTAAGAAAAAAAAAATGATTGGCTTATTAAACATGTTACCGTAGAAATGAAATAAAACGAATAATATGACGAGTCTATTGTAAATCAAAATAAATATTGTAATGATGTCCTATTATAAGAGAATTAAATAATATAATAATACCCTAAATTAAAGTAGAGGAAAAAAAATCTCTGATCGAAAGAATGAAATAATAAAA